CTTGTTTTGTCTGATCAGCAGTCCAAAACCTAAAGATATTCAATTTGAAATCATAAAGTAAGAAAGTAAGAGAAAGAAAACCAGAAAATATTCACCATTGAGAAGTTGGTACCAGTGGATTTTTGCCATTTAATCTGTTTAATCAAAAGTTCACCAAATTGCAAAATGTTCTGTTGATCAACTAATCCAATGGTTGCTGTCTGGATGATAAAATGATCTGTGTAAATCCTGAAGGTGTTACAATCAGTTCTTCTCATGTTTGTCTCAACATTATTTAACCATTAAACTTTGCCATCATCAGTGCATACACATAAATCAGGAGAGCTGCCACTTCCTGAATGTTTTTAGTGTAAAAAACCAACAGACGACACCTCCTCTAATGCATACACCGAAGCACATTGCGTGGGAGTGTGCTGGCCTCCGCTCTTGTGGTCAGTCATGCCTCTTGCCACCCTGCTTGCACAGACTTGCTTGTTACAGAGGACATGAAATGCTGCTTTCTTAGTTGCTATGTGTGTATGAGTACATGTTTCCACGCAACTGTGTGAGAAAGGAGAGGATGTGTGGGGGTTTAATGGTTTCCATGAGACGGCCATGTTTCCAAATGCTCCTTAACTTGTTCTGTACACTAGACTCAACAGCTAAGACTGACCTGTACTTTACCCCAGACTCTTTGTTGCACAGAAGCCTCTTAACTGAACTCAGAGGACAGTCTACTGTGAAGGGCACCTGTGTTGGCAAAGTCTAAACTCAGGGAGGTTACCTGTAGTTCATTATTGGCATCAAAACCCTAAGGCACCTGCCCAGGGATCCAGTCTTATGTTGCCACACAGTGTACTGTCATTAGAGCCAGCACCTTATAGTCTTATCTGAAGTCTTTAAGAAAATTAGTGGTATAGAATCTGCCCAAGCAGCAGCTGCTGTGTGGATGTTCATGGGTGGAGTTGGGAAAGGTACTGTAACTCAAGAAACACAGATGACAGATGGGACAAGAGGTGTTATCAACACCCTTAGCCTTTGATGATTTTCCCAAGTGCGTGTATACAGACAAAACCGTGCATGAATGCACACACTATTTGATACCTACTATACTTGCAATTATGTAGGCGCATTGTTGCATGCTCATCAGCTTTCTCAAGGAACACAATTACACACGCATGCACCATGCATATAGTAACAGGCGTTGTTTGGTTCAGCCTTGTATTTTGAGTCAACTGGCATTTTTCACACCACAGGGTTCAATGTTTTTCACTTGCCTGGTTGGCCAAATGTGTCCAAAATGTATTTGCCCAATCCTTATTGTTGAGCCCTGCACCACAAAACTGTACTCTACACATTGGACAAATTTTGACCATTGCTACATTTTAGTTTCGATCAGGACTTTGAAGCCTTTCCAAAGTGATGTATGTTCCAGATATAGTTCGAAGTTGTGTAGAAGTAATAATGCTATAAAACTATGCAGGTGTTGTCATTGGTCTGTATTTATGTTTATGATAAAGTTTCTGACTACTTTAATATTCCTTCTGAAGGACATCAGATTGGCCGTGACTAAGTGGTTGAAGTGTGTCTGACCTAGAGTGCTTCTGATACTAAGAGACGTACCCTCTCGTTGACAATATCTTTCCTGTGAAATGTGATCAGAACTCGTACGTCATTGAAGTTGGACAAAAAGTTAGAGGAGAACCAGGAAGTTAAGAGGATGGGAAGAAAGAAGAGGAGGGGAGAAAGAGAGTAGCTGCCGCACGTGCTACTTTTTTAGCTCACATGCTGTCCTTGAGTCATGTGTCCTCATCGAGGGGGGGGGGGGGGGGGGCAGCATGAAAACACACATCTTGAGCTCAGAAAAGGAGTCAACTCTGAGGACAAAGTAGCAGTGTTGCATTTATTTCTCTCACCTCTCCATCTTTCCTCCCGCTCCCTATCTCTCCTCTTGAATTTCAATTGAGAGGCTTCAAAGTGAGCGGCTCAGTGGTTGAGGGGGTCATCAAACAAGCCGGGTGCTTCAGCAATACAGGCCTCAGAGGACTCTCCAGGGCCACTGCTGAATGGAGCTGATCAGCTGAAAAACCTGGCAAACTCCCAGCTTCCCCACCGTCGTATCTGCAATAAACTCAAGGGTCCTCTGTACTGGTTTCTTTATTATTATTGACTTTTCGGCCAGTTGCATAGCATGAGATTCAAACCCACAACACTCTCAGGGGAATAATTTTCCTTCAGCTGTGAACGACCTGTCGAGCCGGTTGCACCCACTCTGATGCAGTGATTTGTCAACAGCATTGTAATAATTTCCTCTGATGTCATGCTGTGCAATTTCTGTTGAGAATTTGTTCCTGAAATGTTCTCTTGGAGAGCTGTGATTTACTGATGATTGTGATCAGGGTTGGACTTTGTCAAACAGCACAATTGGAACAATGAAACATCTCAATCTCATCTTAACATGTATTTACATACTGTACCACGTGATACTGTTCACATACTGTTTATGCACAAAAACACATTTTTATCAAACTGCGTTTCTCCTCTGGATGCTACAGTATGAATGTCTTTGACATGTGGGCTAATGGTTTCATCATTATGTTCTATAAGCAGGACTCAGAGTATGGCAGATGGTTTGAGTGGATTTCTATTTGCATACATGCATACGTACTATGAAGTGTCCTTTATCTCAACAGGGGTCTGTTTCCGAGTAAGTCGTGTATTAGAGAAAAACAGCTTCCATTGACATTTCCATTTTCATTAATTACATTTCTTACAATTATTGGAAAGGAAATGTTGGAGAAATACTGACTAAAAAGCAGAGAGGTGCACCTAAGTTTGCTTCACTTTAATTTAATTTTGGTTATTTTACAATTTTAGTCTCAACTATGTTATGACAATAATTATTCTCCCTGTACTTGCTTTTACAAGGGACATTGATTTTCTCCATTCTAACTACCAGTTATTTTCTGTTTTTTTCTGTCTCTTACAGTCTGATGGTAATTCCAAGTGTGCAAGACTCAATTGAAACTGCACAGTAGATCAGTAGAGAACTAATTAACTACCACCTACGATAAGCTGACTGCAGAGAACCAACCTAATTTAATTAAGGTGTTTCCTTAACACAACCTGCTTCATTTGAGAATGTGTGAAAGCTAGCTAAGTATGCAGAGAAGCTAAAACAATATCCAGCTTCTGCCTCTTCAAGTGGTAGCTTCAAATAAAAAGAAATTGTTGTAGCAATTTCTATTTTCTATGAGTAATACATTTTAAAATAAATTGGACACATTAGAAACATGACGGTGTCCCTGAGCTCTTCTGATCGGGGTGTGAGGGTACAAATCAAAAGAGGTTGTAAACCACTGCAATAGATAAACCTGCCTGACACTGACAGCTATGACTGCCTGCTGTCTTTAAATATCCCTGTAACAACATAACATCTGCAACAGATAAAGAGCCTTCTGCATTTTTTGTTAGCTTGCCCTGACAGCTGATGTTCCAGCTGTGCAGCATCCCTGCTTTTTTAGTCATTTTGTATTTCAGTAACATCCCAACTGTCCTTTTGGTCATTTACCTTTGCCACATTTTCAAGCCAAACCTCAACTCACTGAATTCAGGGCGAATTTGCTCATTAACTTTCCACAAGGATGGACAAGACGCATATCATCAAGTTAATAGGCTTCTCAGACGTCAGAATGGGCCTGAAGACTTAACACCTTCTTCCTCTTTTTTTCGCCTCCTTCCTTTCTTTGCCTTCCTCTTCATCATTAGGTGGTGGTTCTGATGGACCCCATGGAGGACCCAGATGACATCCTGCGTGCCAACCGCTCCAGGGAGAAGACTTACATGTTTGACGTGGCATTCGATTACTCAGCCAGTCAGGTCAGTCAAGAGTAAAAGTTCAAATAAAATAAAACAAAAACTAAATGGAATCTGAACAAATATGGCACAACATTTGGTTCATAGAATATAATTACGTTTATTTCTTGTGCCTGCCAGGAGGAGGTGTACCGAGCTACAACCAAAGGGCTGATTGAAGGCCTCATATCAGGCTACAATGCCACTGTGTTTGCCTACGGACCCACAGGTTTGTGTGTGTGTGTTGCACAGCAGTGCACTAAGCACTCTGTCTGAATGAATGGTGTATCATCCACCAATTATACGTGTAATATCTGGTCAGCCTCTTTCTGAGTCAGCTAGGCAGCACACTCTCAGGAAAAGGGTTAGACATCTTATTCGCATGTTTTGTTTTTTTGTGCAGGTCTAATTAGAAAATGAGTCATGCTTTACCTCCCATGTTTCCTGTGGGTAGAGACAGATTGTCAAAGACTAGTTGAGCACCATTTCTCCATCAAGTTATCCATCTGTCTCACTGACTTCTTCTGCCTTCTGTCCGTCCATCTGTCTCAGAGATTCACAGCTCTTTGTCTCCTCTCGTGGGGAAGTAAACACCGGGATTTTAGCGTGTGTGTGTGCAGGTTTATGTGTTTGCTTGCACCGTGTGCAACAGGCCAGCCAAGGACAAATTAAGACAGCAAGTCTGAACCATGAGTCACATGGACTCAGTTAACACTTGCTTTAGCATTTACCTTTAAGATGGTTAATTTAGAACATTCGATTTACTTTGGTTAACAATTTTTTTTATACTGTATACATGAGTATGATATTCTTAAAACTGCCTTCATTCACTTATTTTGGGCCACAAGATTGACATATTATCAGAATCAGAATTTTGTTTATTGCCAAGTAGGTTTTTACGCCTACGAGGAATATGACCTGGTGCAGT